GGTAGTGCCTCGTTTCTATATATATATATATATATATATATATATGAAGGGTGTGGTTTCTATAAAGTTGCAACCTTAAACAATCCAATTACGGTGCACCTCCAAATTTTATGATGACATATAATTTTGGTGTAAAAAATTATTAGGATTATCTCAAAATCTATTCTCATCTCTAATTATATAATTTTAAACATCAAAAATGGTTAAAAGCGAGTAGATCTATAAACATATGAAAATCTTGAAAATTGACGGTCTAGATAATGTGTTGCAAGATGCACTATTTTTGGGACTCATAATCTTTTTTTTTTGTTTGCATTCATACATCTTGATGTCGAGATGATTTATTAAATGTCTTTTCAACATTAAAAAAACATTCTTCGTTGGATTTTTTAGGTGCATATGTAATTCTACATTTTAAGGTTGTAACCTTATATAATTTTTTTCCATATGATTTCATACAACGGTTGCATCATAATATAATGCAACAACCTTCAAAAACCATGTTATGGCCATTTGTTTGATCCAAAATTTGAAATGTACAATCTTTTCATTCTAATGAACAATCACAAAAAAAAAAAAAAAAAATTAGCAAACACAATCTAGAAAGTATTTTTTTAACCTAATTAACATAGGCTGTTCATTTTGGTGAGATGCTTAGATCTAGGCCATAGAATGATTTTTTCATTTTCAATCTTTTTGGATGACTTTATTATCATTAGATGAACAATGTTAAAAAAAGAAAACAATGATTTTGAGTTTATAAAAGCTAAGATCTTGAAATTCACCAAATGAATGGTCTAGATTCTTTTTTTGAAGGGACTTATTTTGACCATATTTAGGGTTCAAATTGAACTTTTTTTTTTTTTGGATTGATAATGGAGATAAAGAGTGTGTGTGCCAAATTTTGGGTCATACAAATAACACAAACATAGTTTTCTAAAAGTGTCATTGCATTATAGTATGATGCAATTGTTGCTTGAAATCATTGCTCATGAATTATATATCTATATCTATATACTCCATTATTAAACCAGACTTAAGGGGTGGACAAGTGAAGGGATCCTAATTCTAGAGAGGAGGTAGGAATCGTTCTTAACTCTAAGGGCCTGTGTCACACCCCAAGAATTTACAATACTGTTATTCCTAAGATGTGACAGACAAAACATATATACATCTATTGATAAGACAAATTTACAGTGGTGAGGTC